ACTGGAAGTGGACAGGACGGTGGGCATGTGGTCCATGAGACTGCCTGAGGCGTTGGGAAGGGGTTGAATCCCAGCAGGACCCCAGGCCAAGGTGCCATGGGGCAGAGCCCAAAGCGGTAGGCGAGGCCGGGCTAGGGCACCCACCACCTTGTTTATCTTTGAGCTGCTGCCTCCACAGAACCCTCGCTAATGGGGTTTTACAGCCCACTCAAGCTGCAACTGGCCAAGAATCAATCATTACCGGCACTTAGTGGTTTGATAGTTAACAGCCTGAACTGAAGCCAAACTGGTTGTTAACTGTGATAACAACTGATTTCAAGGGCTTATTGCCGGCCCAATATGCTCAGCCCATTTATTTCGGGGAAAACAAGCAGGGAGCTGCTGCAAGGCCCAGAAAAAGGAGGAGGGCTGCGCTCTCCTCAGCCAAAAGGCCTGCCAGCCCGTCTTGGAGAGGGCGCTGGCTGAGGTCTGCATGGAGGCTTCCTCTCCCAGAACCCACTGAAGACCAAGGTGCGGCCCAGGTGATCCCACGGCAGGCCCCCTCAGTCCGCCCTCCCTGGTTCTCACCCATCCTGGTCTCCCACCTTCCCTTCTCCTCGTCTTCCTGTAGCAGCACTTCCCATGAGGCCCTCACAGGCACAGATTCGCCATGAGGAGGAGCCCAGGCTTAGGGACCAGGCCTCTACGTGGAGCTGGACCCCCCATTCCTTCTTCCTCACCAGGGCTCCAAGTCCAAGCCAAAACCTTGCCTCTCATTTCAAAGCCAGCGAAGACTCCACCCAAACCTTGAGTAGAAAGAAGGAGCAAGAGTTCCCTCCTCTTACTCCACCCGGTCCTGTCTATCCCTGCCTCCTACCCTCAGTCAAATGGCTGACGGTGGGCTACTGCTACGGCACCAGCAAAGGACCAGAAGTTCTCCACTGTTTACAGACAGACCACGTGAGGCCCAGAAGCCACATAGCTAGTGCCAAAGCGAGTACTAGAAATCAGGTCTTAAGTCTCAGACCCAGGCTGCTTCTGGAGGACTGTAGGTCCTTCCCTAACTCCATTCATTCATTCACTATTTATTGAGTGCCAAGTATGTGCTAGGCTCTGATCTGATTAAGGGAGAAGCAGGGAATAAGAGACAAAGCCCTGTCATTATGAAGTTCATATTCTAGTGGTGGGGGTGGGGGATGCCGAGCAAACACTGTGTAGAATAGCAGATACTGACAACCGCTACAGAGCAAAATGAGGCTGAAAGGTGGTGTAGGGGAGGAGCAATTGTAAATAGGCTGGTCAAAGAAGGCCTCACTGAAAACTTAATGCTGGAGCAGGCAGCTGATGGCGGTAAGGCATCAAGATATCTGGGGGCCCTAGCTGGTTTGGCTCAGTGGATAGAGCGTCAGCCTGCAGACTGAAGGGTCCCGAGTTCAATTCCAGTTGGGGGTGCATACCCAGGTTTCAGGATCGATCCCCAGTGGGGGGCAGTCAGGAGGCAGCCGATCAATGATTCTCTCTCATCAATGATGTTTCTATATCTCTCTCCCTCTCCCTTCCTCTCTGAAATCAATAATAATAATAAAAGATATCTGGGGAAGAAGCCATTAACGTAGAGGGAACAGCAAGTGCAAAGGCTTATTGCATTAGGGGAAGAAGAAGGATACCAGTGTGGCTGGAGCCAAGTGAGGGAGGTTATGAGTGTGTGTGTGTGTGTGTGTGTGTGTGTGTGTGTGTGTAGTGGAAGGAGTGGATGGAGGTGCAGAGAATGGTAAGTCAGATGACTAAATACTCAAGTGGAGATGTTGAGTAGGCAATTGTGTATGAGTCTGGAATTCAGGGGAGAGAGGTCTAGAATGAAGATATACATTTGGGAATGTTCAGCACACAGGTGATTTTTAAGAGCCAAGCGATGGAATGGATTACCCAGGGAGTGAGGATAAATAGAGAAGAGAAGAGCTCCAAGCCTGAGCGTTGGTATACGCTAAACATTTAGAGGTCAAGGTGAAAGGGGAAACCAGCAAAGAAGGCTGAGGAAGTGTGGCCCATGAAATAGATGGGAGGAAAACCAACTGATAAAACGTGAGTAGACTTGGTGGTATCCTGGTGATAAAGACAAAAGAACAATTTCTGAGCATGAAGCTTTTAAGTGGGATTAGGGGAGAGCATTACTGTCAATAACTGTTTCCCTTCCTCCCACCTCCACTAACCGAGGGCCAAGAGGAAGCAGCCAACAGAGTTGGTTTAACCCAGGAGTCTCCTTGACTCTTCCCTCAGCCTCCCACTGCCTCTCATCCTGTTCCCTTTCCCTCCAGAGCATACCTCAAATCCAATACATCTATTCTACTCATCGACTACTACCACCCTGCTCCAAGCCAGCTTCAGTCTTGTCTGGCTCATGGCAACAGCTCCCTAATTGCTCTCTCTGATTCCTCTCTTATCCCCCTACAATCCTTTCTGTACTCGGTTTGCACAAATTTTAAAACATGTGGTCCCATCTGCCCTAACCTTACCGCTTCTCTCCCACTCACCCACTGCCTTCTGGCCACACTGTCTTCCAGCTCATATCTGCCTCAGAGCCTTCGCACTTATTCTCTCTGCTTGGAATGCTCTTCTAGATAGTAGGATGGCTAACTGCTCATTATGTAGATTTCTGTCATCACTCCCTGCTTTATCCTGTATAATAAAAGGCTAATATGCAAATTGTCCCCTAGACCAGGGGGCAGGGCTGGCCGGGGGGAAGGGCTGCAGGTGGTTAGGATGAGGGGGCCTATTGGGAGTGGGGCTGGCTGGCCAACCTCCTGCATCCTCTCCCCCTGGCCAGCTGGCCTGATCAGCCCTGATTGGGCGGGCTGACCGGAACCCACCCATGCACAAATTCGTGCACCGGGCTTCTAATT